AATAAAGGCTATTCTATTCTATTCTTTACTCTTGCAGGAGAGTTCCGTGTTGCGGTCCGCTCTGTATAGTTGAAACCCAGCCAGCTCAAGCGCGGAATCTGGTGTCGTGAAGCACAGGACAGCGGAGGAGGAAACATCTATGTTCTTTTACACAAGTAGTTGAAGTTCGTCTACTTTGTTGGGCAGTGAGCTCACGTTAGAGAGGAATATGCCGGTATGATGTCCGCGGCGCCGCAGCCGTACGAGCGCACCGGCTCGTTTCCCCCTCTTCTGACCCTTCGCTGCTTTGGTAATGACCAGGTTCGCCTTTAAGTAAAATGTCCGTTGAAGAGGCGAGAAACTCGGGGAATAAATCCAGTGGAGTTGTTGCACGGATGTTTATAAGTCCATCCCTGGTGTAAAAGTTCTGGGAACCAGAGCCAACACCGGTGGTAAAAACACAAAAACAGTAGAAGGAGCGCTGTACCAAACACCGTGTCCGCAGCGCCATCGAGTGATACAAATGCGTGTCAGTGAATTTCAGCCCAGTGTGTGTTTGTGTTTTCCTTCAGTTTGATCTCGACTCCATCTGGACCTTTGTCTTTGGCATCTCAGCCTCCAGTGGGACGGTGCTTAACTCCATTCACAGCTTCTGCACTGAGGCTGCGTTTCTGCTGCTAGCAATGCTCCGAAGCATGCTCAACCTGGTGAGAAATGATGCTATGCCATATGACACACAAGTACTGAAACTACAGTACATATTCTGAACTTCAGTATCAGACTGTCAAACATGTAACAGGGATTAACAGATAAAGTTTTGACAATACAACTAACTATAATTTGGCTGAACTTTTGTTCATCAAATTTGTTGTTGTATTTCCTCGTTCATCTTGAAGCCGTGGCAGTCGGAGGAGGAGGGTTCTTGGCTCAGAGAATACCCCGTCACATTAATGCAGTTCTTCAGGTACCTGTACCACAACGTAGCTGACCTGGGGTCTATGTGGCACAGTCCAGATTTCCTGTGTGCTTTGGCTGCCTCAGTCTTTCCCTTCAACATCAGACCCTACTCTGAAATGGTAAGTCTGGTGGTAATAGTTTTTAATCTAAAAAAAAAGATTGAATTGTGGACTGGAGCTTTAAAGCTCTACAGAAACGAAGCATTTTAAAAAAAATAATTTGGTAGACTTTTTCCACAACTCTCAAAAGTTAACTGCAAATGCGAACGGCTCTGCTGCAATGCAGGAGTGTATTGCAGCATCAGAGGAGGCTACATTTGTTGACTACATTTCTTTATACCCAGTAGCCAATAGATATATAAATAGTAAAGAAATAGCTAAAAAATGCAAAGCCTCTACTTATTCACCTAAAGTTAAAATTGGTCATCCTTAAGCTATTTAATAAATCACTAATTTCCATCTCTCCCAGGTTAGTGATCTGGATAATGAAGCCGGTTCACCCATCGAGGAGTTCAAGGCTTTCACTGGAGACTCGGGAATGAATCGCAGTCAGTCTGAGTACTGCAACGTTGGCTCCAAGACCTCACTGACCAACCACCCAGCCAAGAAGTACGTCTTTGACTTCATGAGAGTCCTGATTATGGACAACCTGTGCATGACTCCTGCCAGCAAACAGACACCGGTCATTGACCTTCTGTTAGAGGTGACGACGAGGAAACATTAACAGTCTTGGTTTCTGCAAGACACTTGCAAAGTTGAGTCATTTTTTTATTTAATTATTTGTTTTCAACTATTAGGCATCACCAGAGCGTTCTACCAGGACACAGCAGAAAGAGTTTCAGTCCAGTGTCCTGGACGGAGTCATGAAGCATCTACTGGCTGCTGACGTTTTATTAGGTAAGCTTGTGATCTATGTGAAGTGTTTGTGTTAGTTGTTAATTAACTGTTTCAGGTTTTTAGCAGTTCAAATTAGCACTGAACATTCAGATTAGCTGTTGGCTCTTCACTTTAGTTGTTAGTTTTACTTCTCCGCAATCTCCAACTGTCCTACCTGATCTTTATTCAAGTGAAATATGTTGCGATCCATATTAGATGTTAGTTGTTATCTTTTATTGGCTGTTAACCATTAAGAACAACTATTAGCTTTTTATTACCACAATAACTATTCATCTGATCTCTTTGCAATGATGATGTTTTTTCTTTTTTTTTTTTTTTTTTTTTTGTAAGCTGTGTATTATCTGCTGTTAGATAAGCAGATATAAATCAAAACCTTTAGCTCTCTGTGCTGGTGCTGAGATGAAAGTGTAAATGAGTGCCAGGAAAACTCACAAGGTCTTTTTTATTTGACTTTCTTTCATGTTTTTTAAAGACTTCTTTGACATTGTGTTTTTCAATTTCTGCGTCATGCTCTCCCCCCACAGGTGAGGATGCGTCACTGCCTCTGAGCAGTAGTGGCACTTACCAGATCCTGGTCCACAACGTTTTCTATTTCACCCAGCGTGTGGTAGATAAACTGTGGCAGGGAGTGTTCAACAAAGACTCCAAATTGGTGGTTGACTTCATCATCCAGCTCATAGGACAGGTATATAAAGAGGTCCATCTGAGTCCTACACAACCTAATCTAACAGCCCAACTCACAGAATACTGTTTTAAACACTCACAGGGAAATTCTTCCGAGATTACATAAGTTATATACGTAAGTGTTCCTAATAAAGTGGCGGTGGCTTCTGGGACTCAGCAGTTTTGCTCTGGTGTGAGGAGGTTTTAACACAAATTTCTTGGTCCTAATCTCAGGATATCTAATGCTAGTGCTAAGTGGCTGCTGCTTAAATATGTTATTGGTGTTTTCACCTCAGTCTAGTCCAGATCTGTGAAGAAAAGATGTTTTTACAGTTTCTAACTTAAGAAAAATATCTTTCTCTTCTTTTCCTTTCCTTTTTTCCTCAGTTTAAGCAACGTTCCCAGGGTCTGTCTTTGGACACAATCTATCACTGTCTAAACCGGACTGTTCTGTATCAGCTGTGCTGTTCGCATAAGACAGTTGCTCAGCAGGTGACGCTACTAGATGCCTTGCGAGTCCTGACGGTGAACAGGAACCTGGTTCTGGGTCCAGGAAACCACGATCAGGACTTTGTGGCATGTTTGGCTCACTGCTTCATCTGCCTGCACAGTGGGAGGTATTACTGTCATGTTGACGAGGTGTGTTGTGTTCTAACGTCGCTGCTGTCGACTCCGACCCTCTCATTCTCTCTGTGTGTGAATGTGTACGTGCAGCTGCATGGATGGCTTCGGTCTGGAGGCTGAGGCCCGCATGACCACCTGGCATGTCATGATTCCTTCAGAAAATGGAACAGACTCTGCACACAACCATGATGTCAGTGAAGGTGAGTCAACACACTCAGGTTTGTTCATCACGGTTCATAGAAAATCTTTGAAAAGCTTCTGTTTTTAAACAAAGAAAAATACAGACATGTTGGATTTAGTATTCGGTAATTTTTTTTTTTCAGACAAATAGGCAGTTTACCTTCAATCTGACAAATAAAAAACAAACTGCTCCACATTTGCCAAATTAAAATAAATGTTTAGTAGTTAAATAATAAAAACATTAAAAAGGTAATGTTTAAATTTAGACAATTGTAACTAAAAAACACCACTAAAAATCTTAAAAATAATTGATTTATTAAAAGGTATATAAAGACTGATTGTTGTAAAGGTTATGCACAAACATATTTCTGACAGTGACTATGAGATATTTAATCATGTGACCTATGACCCATGCAGGGCGGCAGCTGCTGCTGAAGGCAGTGAACCGTGTGTGGACAGAGCTGATGCACAGCAAACGTCAGATGTTGGAGGACATTTTTAAAGTGTCTTTGCCATGTAATGACAGAGGACACGTGGACATCGCCACTGCCAGACATGGTCTGGAAGAACCTGCACTCAAGAGCTGGCAGAACCATCTGGGTGAGATACACTGAAAGGAAAATGAGGACTGTTGATGGTGAATTATGGCTACTTGCATCTTTATTTTCCAGACTTGTCTTTCCAGGCATTTAATGTGAGATTAATTAGTGCTTTGACTGTTTCTGACTCACCACCTTCTCTGTTGCCCTTGTAGCCTACGAGAGGAAGTGCATCAGTCGCTGTGAAGCCGTGGCTCCAACATCTCAGTCCAAGCTCTCCAGAGTCAGCAGCGGCTTTGCTCTGTCCAAACTGACGGGAGTCCGTCGCAACAAGAAGGAGAACAGTCTAAACAAGAACAGCCTGACTGCACAGGTGCTGCTGCACACATGCATGCTCTCAAGCACATTTACCAACATGGGGATAACAACGTCACACTCTATCTGTGTGTTCCACAGGAGACTTTCCAGTGGATGTTTACACACATTGCTGTGGTCAGAGATCTGGTGACATTGCAGTACAAAGAACATCAGGAGGTACTGACAGAGTACAGGACAATTCAGTGTTTTGTTTTTTCTTGTGGTTTTTTTGACATAGTAACACATTTGATATGGGAGAGTGAGTCGTTTAAATAAGCATAAGCTGTCAAGACAAGACAGTAAGATCAGAGAGAGAACAGGAGGATGAATTGTATTTCAGTTGGCCGATGTGTCTAAGTCTCAGTTAGTTCAAAGAACCACATATTGTAAGCCCCTGAACAGCCAACCTTCAAATAGTATAAAGAGAAAAGCTGAATCCAAAATCTCTACCTTTTCTTGCAGCGCCAGCAGAACTCGCTGAAGTACGTGAGTGAAGAGTGGGCGTGTCTGGAGTACGAGCTGCTGCGTGAGCGCGGACTCTGGGGTCCCCCCATAGGTTCTTACCTGGACAAGTTTGTTCTGGAAATGACCGAGGGACCGTGTCGTATGAGGAAGAAGATGGTCCACAACGACATGTTCTACATCCACTACCCCTACATGCCTGAGCCAGAGAACAATGCCACCTCTGTCCAGGTACGTAGGTTACAGCAGACACATTTTATATACACACTGTTTGTGTATGGGTTTCAAGTTCACATTTGAATTTATGCTTCCATTTGTGGAAAATCTATATTTTAAACTAATATTTATCCCCTTGCTAAACTTTAGCTGGTCACAGTGTTATTTTTATTTTTTTTTACCATGTTTGCTAATGTTTTTCCCCCCTCTTTGCTCTGGCTTCAGAAGCCCCAACGATATCGTCGGGCCATCAGCTATGACAGTAAAGAGTACTACATGCGTCTGCTGTCGGGGAACCCTGGAATGTACCAGCACTCAGTGGAACAGAACACAGAGGGAGAGGCAGCACCTCACGAGCAAGAGCACGGAGAGGACACTATTGCCAGGGTCAAAGGTTAGTAAATGCCCACAATGTATTCAAATAAAAAAGGGTTCCTGTACAAAAAACACAATCCCCCTTTCACGCTAATCCCTCTGTAGGCCTGGTGAAGGCGCCGTTAAAAAGGTCAAGGTCCACAGCAGACGGCGGTGAGGACGATGGTTCAGAGCAGCTTCAGGAACAGTTACTGGAGTCCAGTGTCCCTGAGGATGAGCACAGGACAGACAATACATCCCTGCTGCGCCTCCTGGAGGAAGGAGAGAAGGTTGGCATTCTCACTGAGATACGGGATAGACATGTCGTTAGGTCAACTAATTATCTGTGTGTTTGTGTGGTTATCTCTTGTGGTCCAGATCCAGCACATGTACCGTTGCGCTCGGGTTCAGGGTCTGGACACCAGTGAAGGTCTTCTGCTTTTTGGGAAGGAGCATTTTTACGTTATTGATGGCTACACCATGACTGTGTCCAGGGAGATCAGAGATATCGATACGCTGCCACCGAAGTAACTTTCTGAGCTCACATCACTTAATGGACACTTCCTATCCAGTCCCCTCTATTTCAACTTTCTCTTTCCTGTCTGCAGCCTGTATGAGGCCATCATTCCTCGAGGAGCTAGACAAGGCCAAAGTCAGCTAAAGAGGAGCTGCAGCATCTTTAACTACGAGGACATTAAAGAGGTCCACAAGAGACGCTACCTTCTCCAGGTAGACAAACGCTGATACACAAAAACACACACAAATACAGAAAAACATTAATAGGAACGTGGTCAAAGTGGCAGTATCTTCAATAGGGTATGTTATACTGTAGTTATCACAATAACTATCATTTAACATTGAAATCTTAGTAATGAATAAGGAATCATTGTCTCCATTAACACTGGTCCATCTTCTGGCTGCTGCTGCAGTGGAACATAAGGGAAGTTAGCAGACTAAAAATGAGAATTCTTCAATTTATTCAATACATCTTGTTCTAAGCAAAATAATCTTTGTTTGACAACTAAATTATCTTATTGATCTCTGGGTTTTAAAGTTTTTCTGTAAACAATTTGATCATTTATCTATACCCTAAAATCTTGCTCAAAATAAGCTGGAGAATTATTCATATGTAGTTTTTGTGTACCATGGCCAACAACACTGACTGAAGTGACTCAAGAAGTCAAGAGATGGGCATCCTTTTTGTTTGCATACCAAATGTTACTGCACTTTTTTAAAATAAAGCAGTACTTAAAATAAAATTGGGCAAATACTACTTTTACTGCTGTCCTGCTCAGAAAATATCTGAAATTGCTCTAGAAAAAAATCTAATTAGGCATAAATAAGCTAGTAATGAATATCTTTGAATGTTTTTTTTTCATTCATTATCTTTCTCCATCCCTTAACTTCTCTTCTTCTTTTTCTTCGAATCTTCAGCCCATGGCAGTAGAGGTCTTCTCAGCAGATGGAAGAAACTACCTGTTGGCTTTCCAGAAAGGAGTGCGGAACAAAGTCTACCAGAGGTACTGGGCCTGCGGGATTTTTCTGACTCAGTTGTTTATGAAAGTTATGTCACTGCTAGGACAGGAAGTGACTTCATTACCCTAACCATGTTATTGATATTCCTACAGGTTTCTGGCCGTGGTGCCTTCACTAGCCGACAGCTCTGAGTCTGTTTCAGGTCAGAGACCCAACACCAGTGTGGAACAGGGGTGAGACCATGCCCAGCAACAGTCACAGCACAAATCAGAGATGTTAAATGCATATTGATGATCACTGTCTGACTCTCATGTTGTTTCTGACATCTCAGATCTGGTTTACTCAGCACTCTGGTTGGAGAGAAGTCAGTGACTCAGCGTTGGGAGGTAGGATCCTGCTGATGACATTAATGAACTGCAACAATGGCACACTCCTTACTCTGTATGTTTCTGTGTCTGTGTGTTGCAGCGTGGAGAGATCAGTAACTTTCAGTACCTGATGCACCTGAACACTTTAGCAGGTCGCTCCTACAATGACCTCATGCAGTACCCAGTCTTCCCCTGGATCCTGGCAGACTACGATGCTGAGGTGATCATCTGTCATCACATCATCTTCAAAAATTCCTCTTACTAATTAAAAAAAGAGCAGGAGGAAAACCTTAGGGTTCATCCTTCTTCACTGGTTCTTATAACACAAAAGTTGTCTTGAAACCTTTCTAACTAGGAGCTGGACCTAAACAATCCAAAGACATTCCGTAACCTGTCAAAACCAATGGGCGCACAGACGGACGACAGACTCACGCAGTACAAGAAGAGATACAAAGACTGGGAGGATCCAAATGGTGAGACACTTTAGCCTGTTCCTGTTACTGTTTTTTTTATCCTGTATTCCTACCTATTTAAATTCTTCTTCTGTTCCAATTTATGAACTCTTCACATTTTCATCCTACGAAGGTGAAACTCCAGCATATCACTATGGCACCCACTACTCCTCAGCCATGATTGTGGCTTCCTATCTGGTCCGAATGGAGCCATTCACCCAGATTTTTCTTCGACTCCAGGTTTGATTTATTAACTTACGAGGCTGGGCGGAGTTTACCTGTCAGTCAGTCAGTTGGTTTGTGTGTGTTAATCCACGATTCTGTCATTATCAAGGGTGGTCACTTTGACCTGGCAGACAGGATGTTCCATAGCGTCCGTGAAGCCTGGCTTTCTGCATCCAAACACAACATGGCTGATGTCAAAGAGCTGATTCCTGAGTTATTTTATCTCCCAGAGTTCCTTCTCAACTCTAACAACTTTGACCTGGGTGTGTATAAAGAACACTCAGCCAAGCTGACACAACCGTTAAACAGTGAACTTATGAACCATCTCAGAATATTAACAACTAGCATTTAACCAACAGGAGCCAAACAAAACGGCACTAAGCTGGGTGACGTTATCCTGCCACCGTGGGCAAAGGGCGACCCTCGAGAGTTCATCAGAGTCCACAGAGAGGTGAGTACTGCTCCCTCAGAGTCAGAACTAGGGTCACAGAGGGCGCTCCTAACCACTTTTGACCCTCTCCCATTCCTCCTGCAGGCTCTGGAGTGTGACTACGTATCTGCCCACCTCCACGAGTGGATCGACCTCATCTTTGGCTACAAGCAGCAGGGTCCTCCTGCTGTGGAGGCCATCAATGTGTTTCACCACCTGTTCTATGAGGGTCAGGTGGACATCTACAACATCAACGACCCACTCAAGGAGACAGCCACCATTGGCTTTATCAACAACTTTGGTCAAATTCCTAAGCAGGTCAGAAGCAGGACTCTGAACTGGACTTACTGTTTAAATTTGTTTAACTAGCAGCTTAACAAGATGTATTCAAAACTGTCATGTTCATTGTAAACCCAGCTTTAGAATTGTTTTTTGCAGCATGTTTGTGTTACTTAGGTTAGCTTTGGTTTTGTGTACAGTATAGCTTTAAGCTTAGGTACAGATTATAGATATGCAGCATTTACATGTTTATTGTAGATTAGCTGTAGTTAAGTGAATTAACTACAGGATAAACATTTGCAACATTTAATTTTTTTAGGCTTTTAAACAATCTATTGTTTGTATTTTTCTGTGTTTAGCTGTTTAAAAGACCACACCCTCCCAAACGTGTTCGTGGTAAAGCTAATGGAGATGTGGTCAGTGTTCCACCAAATGCTAACAGTGACAAAATCTTCTTCCATCACCTGGATAATCTAAGGCCATCGCTGACACCTGTTAAAGGTACTGACACAAAAACACCACAATCTCAACAACACACATTCAAAAGAAATCAGACTTCAGTTTGTTTGTGTGTTTCAGAGCTGAAGGAACCTGTGGGTCAGATCATGTGCACTGACAAAGGTGCCCTGGCTGTGGAGCAGAATAAGGTTCTGGTCCCACCCACCTGGACCAGAAGTTTTTCCTGGGGTTATGCTGACCTCAGCTGCCGATTGACCAACTATGAATCTGACAAGGTGGGTGGAACTAACTCTCTCTGTTTCAGGCTCTGGATGTTTCTATTCTTGTGTGGATTTGTTCCAGTATTTCTGTGTATTCTGGAGGATAATAGTCCTTCTTTTCAGGCGCTGGTGGTCTATGAGTGTCTAACAGATTGGGGTCAGATCCTCTGCTCCATCTGTCCGAACACAAAACTGGTCATCACTGGAGGAACCAGCACTGCTGTCTGTGTGTGGGAGACGGAAACGTCCAAGGAACGCAACAAAACACTGACGCTCAAACAGGTGAAACACACACACAACACAAACACACAAATAAAATATGAACAACAAACCACAGATGTTGCTGAATTGGGCAGACTGTCATATATCATAAAGAATGCTGTACCACATGTATGTTCAAAGTCAGGCTTAGGGGCCAAATGTAGCCCGTGGTTACATATTTTTACAGCCTCTTTCATAAAATACAACACAAGCTACGCTAGTGCTGACGGCAGCAGCTTTTTGGTCGCTCTGCAGCACTAATCCGTTTTTACTACTTTCGCTTTACTTTTCCTACTTTTTCTTTACTCCTTTCACGGAGTACTACTATTAAATGTATCCGATAGATACTGGCAATCTTAAAACGGCAACCAGAGCCAGTTCTCTCGTTTATTCAAGGGACGAGTGTGGTATAGTGCTCTATACATCCCGTTCAGCAGTGGCACTATACTGTTGTCTAATGTTATGCGTAACAGAGAAGTAATGCATGAAGAAGTTAAATAAAGGAGTTGATGTACGTTCACCACTGTGTCTCATTTACAATCTACAATTAATCCTGCTACATACACAACATATTGGCAACGAGGATGGCTGTGGTTGGAATCTCACAACCCCCTGCTTTACTGGAGCCGACAATGTTGTATACAACGTGGATACAAATGTTGGAAAATTATCTCCTCGCCTTGACTGCTAACGACATGCCAGACAAACATAAGCACGCCTTGCAATCACTGTGGAAAAATGGGCCATTTTAGTAGGGTTTGCTGCAGTACAGTTCCTACACAAACTGTGCAGAGGGTTGCTGTGCCAGATCTTACAGTGTTACATGTTCCTCCTACATCTACAGTCTCACAAACAAATCACCTTACCTGCACAGTGTCTCTTCATGCCAAAGATGGACAGTCACTTACTACAGATTTGCTTGTTGAGACTGGTACAGCAGTCTCCATTCTTCCAGAGTGTTTACTGTCCGTCATTTATGCATGTGCCTCTTACAAAGCCTACTGCCCGCCTGGTAACTTACATGAAGAAGCCTATTCCTGTCCTTGGATGCCTCCAGCTTTCTGTTTCATACTGCAGTCAGAGCACACAAACAGACGATGGATGTTTTCACTGCACCTTCACATCCACGATGGGCAGATTGCAACACCTGCTTCACCAATGGTGAGTCACACTGTCAACACCACTAGCGCATTAGGCATTGCTACTGGATTTACAGTGCGTCCAGATGTGCCTCCAATCCAGCAGAAACTACGCAGACTTACATTTGCTGTGCGCGACGCGGTCTCTGAGGAACTTTGGTGGTCATGAGCAAAAAGACAGGTGGTATTCGTCTTTGTGTGGACTTACGTTAACCAAAAAGAGCTGTGTTCATAGACAGTCACCCTCTGCCACACATCGAAGAAATCTTTACTGGGCTCCGTGGTGCTACAATGTTCTCCACAATTGATTTGCAAAATGCATACCACCAAGTGCAGTTACATCCAAGCAGCAGAGATCTTACAGCGTTTATAACGCATGATGGACTTTTTCATTTCAAACGAGTGCCTTACGAGCTAGCCTCAGCACCCAGTGCCTTCCAACGGATGATGTCTCAGATCCTAGATGGCCAAAAGCATGTACAGTGCTATCTTGACGATATCATTGTCTGTGGGGAGACGCCTGAAGTACATGACGCCAGATTGAACGCCGTTCTTCACTGCCTGCAGGAGAGTGGTTTGAAGCTCAATACTGCAAAATGCCATTTCAGAAAGACCGAGTTGTCCTTTCTTGGGCATCTCATCTCTGCCTCTGGCCTACAACCAGAACCTGGTCATGTCCAAGCCGTGGTTCAAGCTCCCCCTCCACACGATGCTCAATCTCTACGCTCCTTTCTGGGCCTGACTGTGTGGTATTCGAAGTTCATTCCCAACTATGCCACGCTTGTGGAACCTCTCCGTACTCTAATGTGACAGTCTACTGCTTTCCATTGGCCTGAGGAGGCTCAAGTAATTTTTTGCAAAGTGAAAGAAATAATAGCTACAAGTTCTGTTTTACCTTGTTAGATCCTTCCCTGCCGACAGTCGTGACAACTGATGCGTCAGACTACGGCATTGGCGCTGTGCAGGCATGTGAATAGCCCTATGGTCTGTTTGTCTGCCGTGTTTTAACTACGCTATAGAATACAAACCTGGCCATGAGAATGTTACAGCAAATTGCTTGTCACGTTTGCCTCTTCCCATCACAGATGAACATCAAGAGATGGAGTTGGAGATGATGGCTGTTGTGTCAACTGACTTTGCAACAGTCACTGCTGAAGAACTCTCCAGTGCCTGTGATGCGTGTCCTGTGCTACAGAAAGTGCGACACTACATTGCCAAGGGATGGCCTCGAACTGCAAAAGGCTTAGATCCTCTCATTGTGCCAGAATGAATTGGCTGTGCAGAATAATGTCATAGTGCGTGGCACTCATCGTGTAGTAGTACCTCAAGAATTACAGTCAAAGATGATCCAGCTCGCTCATGCTACACACCCAGGGATCGTCCGCACCAAACAAAGACTGAGAGACTTGTACTGGTGGCCTGGGATGGATTCACAGGTTGAGTCTTCCATTGAATCATGCCACCTGCCTGCAACATGACAAAACTGCAACCACCCGTACTGCTCCATTACAACTTGTGCCTACTCCTACTGCAGCCTGGGAAAAGGTAGCTGTGGACATTGTTGGTCCTTTTCACACTGTACCTGCTGATTGCCGCTTTGCGATCACACTCATCGACTACTACAGCCGGTGGCCTGAGATTGTGTTCTGTTCAAGTGTTACCTCAGCCACTGTTATGACATTTCTTGCCACTGTGTTCAGTAGAGAAGGGAATCCACTTGACCTTGTCACTGACAATGGCCCTCAGTTTGTTTCGGCTGAGTTCGAGTCTTCCCTTGCTGACAGAAACATTAAGCACTGTCTCGGTGCTGTGTATTACCCACAAGCAAATGGGGAAATAGAGCGCTTCAACAGTGTTCAAAGATTGTCTGCAAACAGCCAACATTGAAGGTAAACCACTGAAAGCCTTTGTCACAGAGGCTAATTCTTACACACATACAGAGCCACTCCACATGCCGTGACGTCAGTGTCCTCTGCTGAATTGCTACATGGTAGACCACTCAATACAAAGCTGCACATTAGAGGTCTACACTCCATGCGCCCCTGCACTGACAAAACAAATCTGCTACAGAACATTCAAAAACAAAAACAAACAAGAAAAGACAAAACAGTACACAGACCAACGGCGTGGTGCAAAACCACCCAACATCCAGATTGGATCTTCTGTCCGTATTCGCATTCAAAGTTCACCCAACCTCTAAAGGTGGCAGCTCAAAAGGGTCCTGCCACTTACCTGGTGTCCGATGGACAGAAAAGTGTGGAATGCCTTCCACCTTGCCCCTTCATCCTCAACCACTGTTCCAGCATCACAGCCTGCTGATGCTTGTTTATTGTCAAGCTGCAAAGGTGCCGAGCCACCTGAAACTGAAACTGTGCACTCACCTCACCATTCTCCAAGAGTATCGAGAGTATGACACACTCCTGCATGGCTTGAGGATTATGTGATTTAAAAAAATAAAAATAAAAGTGATGTTCATTGGTTATGTAATATTGTCATTATACAGTTTATTTACTTGTTGACCTACCGTAATGTCATAAGGTTAAGAGTGCTCACTCATTACTTTACTTATAGTATAATTCTTTATCTTTTGATACATACTTATTTGTCAGGTCTGTCTGTTCCTGCTGTCTGCTGTGTGGGGTAATCGGTTATCACACTCACCTGTGTCTGCAATAAGCCTCACCTATGTCACCTGGTACTCCCTGTATATACATGAGCGCTGTATCGTTCGTGCCAGCGTTGTGTTGAGCTTTTTGTTGTAGCTGTAGTCGGTTCCTGAGCAAGCCTGTTGCTGTGCTCAACTCTGTTGGTGTTCTCAGCTCTGCTCGACTTTGCCTATGCTTCTGTCCTGGACTTTGGGATTTTGAATCTTGAAATAAACTACCTGTACCAGTCTTGCATTTGGGTCCTGCCTGCTTCCTGCCATGTCGATGGCCAATCATGACAGAATGATCCCACCAGTACTCAACCTAGCGGACTGGTTAGCTCGTGAGGCTCCGGCAGAAACCGAGGTGCGTGCCATCCTACACTCCGTCGAGAAGGCATTGGCCGCAGGTGCCACTG